AAATTTAATGAGAAGGAAAACATGTTTATTCAGTTTTCTGTGATGGGGACAAAATACCTGAGACGATCTACTTTTAAAAGGAAGAGCCTCAGGCCGGGCGTTGGTGGCACAGGCCTTTAATCCCAGCACTCGGGAGGCAGAGGCAGGCGGATCTGTGTAAGGCCAGCCTGGTCTACAGTGTGAGTTCCAGGACAGCCTCCAAAGCAACAGAGAAACCCTGTCTCAAAAAACAAAAATAAATAAACAAATAAATAAATAAATGGAAAGCTTCTGTCCCCTGCCAATGTCCCTATAGCTTTGTAGCAAGACTGTGCATCAAGGCTGACCTGCACAATGGTGGAGGCTGCTTACCCAAGAGCCTGGGGTCCCATGATCCCCTTTGAGGCCACGTTCCCAGTGACCTAACTTCCTCCCACTAGGTCCCGCCTCCTCCAGGTCCTCCCCAGTATTGTTCCAAGCTGTGCCTTTGGGTAGCATTTAGACTCTAACCTGAACAGCAAAAAAAAAAAAAAAAAAAAAAAATCTAGGGAGGGTCTAGGCCTGTCCTGGATGAAATGACAGACTATGGACACCCCCAAGGAGGGCCTCACCCTCCCTAGGGAAAGGAGGGGATATTGGGGGGATTGGGGGAGGGCACAGGAGGAGGGGAGGGAAACAGAGAGGGATCTGGAAATGACTTGTGAAGCAACCTTGTTTCTAATCTAAATTTAAATTTAAAAATAAATAAGAAAAAAACAAAAAGAAAAAATCTAGATGGGTTTTTTTAGAAGCTTTTTTTTTTGAGATTCTATTTCTTTTTATTTTATATGTAAGGGTGTTTTGCCTGCTCATGTACACCACTGAGTCCCTAACGCCTGCAGAGGCCAGTAGAGAGCATCAGTCCCCTGGGCCAGTTACAGATGGTTTTGAGCCTTTAGGTGGGTGCTGGGACTTGAACCCTAGTCCTCTATAAGAGCAGTCAGTGCTCTTAAACGTTTGGGATATCTCTCCAGCCCCAACCATCTAGTTTCCCTTCCTTCCTTCCTTCCTTCCTTCCTTCCTTCCTTCCTTCCTTCCTTCTTTCCCTCCTCCCCCCTCCCTCCCTTTCTTCTTTTCTTTCTTCTTCTCTCCTGGAACTTGTTCTGTAAAGCAGGCTGGCCTCAAACTCAGAGACCCGAGTGCCTCTGCCTACTGAGTGCTGTGATCAAAGGCATGCACAGCCACCACCACTGGGCTCAATTTTTCTTAACATAAAAAAAAGAGAAAAATCTAGCCAGTTTGTGGTGGCGCCCACCTTTAATCCCAGCACTTGGGAGGCAAAAAGCAGGCAGATCTCTGTGAATTCAAGGCCAGCCTGGTCACAGAAGTTACAGGACATCCAGGGCTGCACAGAGAAACACTGCCTGGAAAAGCCAAGGGGTGGAGGTGGGGGAATGGGGGAGGCAACACCTGACTTCCCTGAAGAATACAAAAGACACTCCATACATCATTAGCCATTAGGAAAATTCAAGTTAAAAACCACAGGAGGGGCCTTTCCACCGTTAGAAGGCTCTGGCCCAACCAAGCGTCACAAGGCTGTGCAGCAATGAGAGCTCCCATGCACCATTAGTGAGATGCTAGATGGTACAACCACGTTGGACAATGGCGTGACGGAATCTTACAGAGTCAGCATGCACCATCTGCACGACCAAGCGTTTAAACTCCCAGGTACACACAGGTGTATGTACACAAACATTTACAGACATCAGAGGCAGGGCTGGAAAGATAGATCAGTGGGATCTGAGTTCAGACCATTAGTGCACTCTCGTTAAAAACTGGGCACAGTGGCATATGTCTGGAACTTTAGAAGGGTCTGAAATTAGGCCAATCCTGGGAGCTCAATGGCCAGCCATTCTAGCAAAACAGCCACCTCTGGGTTCAGTGAGAAACCTTGTCTTTAAAAAAAAATATAGGGTAAAAAGTGATGGAGGAAACATTCAGTGTCAGCCTCTGTCCTCCACACATACACACACACTTGCACACACGTGCCCATAATACATGCGTGGGCATGGGTGCCCGTGCACACACACGTGCACACGCACACACACACAAACAAATAAATTTTGGAGAAAAGTTGGTAACTACTCAATTCAGACTACCTGAGAATGGAAGTGGTTTCAGTTTGTTCCTCCCAGCAGAGGAACAACAAGCTGAGGTCCTACTTTGCAAACACGGCGGGATAAACCGTGGACACGCATCACATGTGCCCCGAGCCAAAGCCGTGTGGAGGAGGCAGACACAAAGGACCACATCATGTGATTGCACGTAAGCAAAGCTCTGGGACAAGTAGAGCAATCAGGAGGGGCAGAAAGATCCAGAAAGCATGTGACCGGGGTGGGGTCATCTGAGCTGGTCTGGTGACCATGACAAGACAGCACAGATGGGACTTAAAAACAAGTATTCAAGCTGGGTGCTGTGGCTCTGCCAGCCCTTGGAGACAGAGGCAGAAGGATCAGAAGCTCAAGGTAACTTTTGGAAACAGAAACAACCAAATGTCTGAGTTGAGGCCAGGCTGGTCTGCATAGGATAGCCAGGTCTGCATAGTTCTAGGATACCCAGACTAAACAGTGAGACACCCCACACACACACCGTCTCAAAAGAAAAAGAAATTATTCAAGGTCATCTTTGCCTATGTAGCAAACTTGAGACCAGTCTGGTCTACAAGAGACTTTGACTTAATCATCTACGTCAGTGGCAAAAAGAAGAAATAGTCACACCTCCGTGATCCTACAGGGTGTGAACTTGCTCAAAGATGTAACAAGGCTGGCCCCCACCAGTGCATTCTTCCCAGCCACAGACAGCATCTTCTGTATGTTCACTGACATCCCTGGTGCCTCCAGCATGTCTCCAAGGTCACTTGTAGTGACCTGACTTAACCTTAACCACCTACGGTCCCTTCTTCAGAGAGTCTGGACATTGGGCTCAGAGTATAAATTCAGAATCTCCTGTCCCCAGGAGCTAGGAGATATCTAACAATGTGCTTGCTGCACACATATAAGGAGGACCTGAGTCTGATTCCCAGAAACACCCACACCCCACACACAAGGATGCGACTCTCCACGTTCGACGTCTGTAACAGCTAATGTGTGTCTTCTCATCTGTGTCCTGAAAAATGCCAGACACGTCCCCCAGGGGGTTGATGAAGACCATTGCAGTCCATTTCTGTTTCTACTTTCACTTCTGCCTGGCTTGAATGTCTGCCAGATTTTGCCCCTTTACCAGAAAAGTATTTGCAAGTGATGGATGAACACGCGTAGCCCTGTGAAACCCGAACCACCAGGCAGACCCAAGAGGCCATGCTTTCCCCAGCAGGACCCAGTCGGGCATTAGGGCCGGCTGCATAGACCACTCCCACAGTCAGGCTTCTTCCTTCTCTCCACCCTTCAGCCCTGGACCAGAGGCCCCCTCCAGGGCAGGACCATGGGCTTTCTTGTATCTCCACGATTCCTAACAGCTGAAAGGTGGAAGTGTCTGTGCTCTTGGCAAGGAGATAGCAAAATCCTACTCTGAAATGTTATTCACCCACAAGAAAAAAGGTAAAATAGGATAGAATAAATGGAGCGCTGACACACGTTACAAGATGGATGAACCTTGAAGATACCATGCTCAAGTGAGAGAAAAGACAGACCCAGAACAACAGATAATGTAAGACCCGTGCAATCGAAGAAGACACAGGGGGAAGATGACGGGAAGAAGGCAGAGGCAGAGATGAGGGGGCCTGGAGAAGTCCACAAGGACACTGGAAAAGGGTCCACTGATGTGGACAGGGCTGATGGCTATGCAAAAAACGAGGAGCATGGGGACTGGAGAGAAGGCTCAGAGGTTAAGAGGGGCGGTGCTCTTGAAAAGGACCTGAGTTTGTCTCCCAGCCCTTCTGATGGGTATGGTGATACATTGTTTATAATAAAGCTTGCCTGGGGTGTGGCGATACATTGTTTATGATCTAACAAAGCTTGCCTGGAGAGATCAGAATGCAAAACTAGCCACAGCCATAAAGACCAGGCAGTGGTGGTTACACGCTTTTAATCCCAGGACTCAGGAGACAGAGGCAGACGAATCTCTGTGAGTTCGAGGCCAGTCTCGTCTACAGAGCGAGTTCCAGGACAGTCTCCAAAGCAATACAGAGAAACCCTGTCTCGAAAAACCAAAAAAAAAAAAAAAAAAAAAAAAAAAAGAAACCTTCGAGAAGGGTAGTCTTGCCAGTGTTGACCGGGTCACACCTGGGTCCCTCCTGGTTTCTTCCATCCTTCCTTCCTTCCTTCCTGGTCTATAGAGTGAGTTCTGGGACAGCCAGGCTATATAAAATGTACAGGACACAAAAAATCTACTATTTCAACCATCCATAAGTTCTTGAAACACAAGAGCAAAGTACATTTCCCATTCTTTTCAAAAGGACTTCTTTTTTTTTCCAGTTTTAAAGGTTTTATTTAGCTTTATTTTGTGTATGAATGTTTGCCTGCATGTGCACCACCTTGCTTGCAATGTCTGAAGAGACCAAAAGTGGGTATTGGTTCCCTCTGGAACTGGACTTACAGATGGTGGGGAGCCTGAGCCATCTGTCCTACTCCCGATTCTTATTATTTTAAATGTTTTGTGTTTGTTTGTGTCTCTGTGTATACGTGTGTGTCAGCGGAAGCTGGAAGAGGGCCTCAGATCCCCTGGAGCTGGAGTTACAGGTGGTTAAGTTGCCCAAACTGCTGATAGGTTGTGTATGGTTTAATAAAGCTTGCCTGAATATGACAGCAACAAGGCAGCCAAGCCACCAGAGAGATCTTACCTCTACCACGGCTGGGGTGGCCCTGACCTCAACGTGGCTAGAAACTAATTGCCCAAGACTGAATTCCAGAGTATCACGCGAGACCCCGAATGCCCGGCTTCAGGAGGGTTTCTGACAATTGTCCTTTGCTGTCTTACAGTTTCCCAGCAAAGATGAAATGGGAGAAAAAGGAAAGAGAAAAAGAGGACCCAAGGGAGAGCAAGAATTTGCACTTTGCCTTAGGAATTTATTGAGCTCAGCCCAAGACCTGGTCCTTGGCCCCGGCTCGGCTTAGTTCACAAGCTGCTTTCCTCAGACACAAGGGGAAGCCAGGGGAGAGCAAGGTCAAACCCTCCAACAGCCACACTTCCTGCCGCCGCCTGCAGCCTCCTAGGCTCAGGATTCTTCTGAAAGACAAAACACGAACTTATTTTCCACCGACTCATTACAATGGCAAACAAGAGGTTCTCGATATGACCTTTCTTCTTTTTTTTAAACACAAACAGGATCACAGAACATAATTTTACAGAGAAAACATGGCATATGTAAAGTACTGATGTGTAGCAGGACCCTAGTCATGACTTTGTCAGGGACTTTCCCCGGGTCTGAAGGAAAGCGTCCCCTCCCTTACTTGTTAAACGCACCCCACACAACACTTAATCATTCACTCAATCATCTTCTCATGCATGAATTCACTTTGCCGGGACCTCGTTCATTCACTCAGCCATCCTCCCAAATATGCAGTCAGTATTTACGGGGCAGCCCGAAGGTTCTGGTAGCATGCCGGCTAATTCTGGACCCTGAAGTCCATCCTCATGGGGACGTATTGTCCAGCTCTTCCTGGCCTGGGAGCAGCAAACTCTTAAGGTCAACATGCTGCTGGTAAAGGAGTCATGGAGTTAGCTAGGGCAATGCAGGGACAGAAGGCAATGCCACCAGCGGCACAGCCAATCAAGTCAGTGATGGCCAAGGTCCCACAGGCAGGCCCCCTGAGGCTGAGCGTTCAGTCCAGATTTGGGACAGCCTCCCAAGTTCTCTCAGCTCTCCTCTCTCCACAGAGTGGGCCCTGGTCTTCAAATTTGTCAAGCTCTCCTGTGGACTGGGGTAGTATAACAAGAGACATCTCGAGGCTGTGGAATGTGACAGCTGCTCACCTTGGCCTGTTAGCTCTTAGCCCAGCCCATCTGAGCACAAGGGCCCCCTGCAGGGTGGACATCGGATGAGGGGTCTGGACTCCAAGGAGACGTGGGCTTCTCAACGTAGGCTGCTCCCTCTTGGCCATCCTTCAGCAATCAGTGATGGACTGTAGGCCTGAATCCTGCGGCACCCCAAAGTCCTGTGACACCCCAACTTATTTTCCTCAGACTATTCCATTCCCAAACAAGAAGTGCTGTCAAGTCCTACCCCCAGCATACACACACACACACACACACACACACACACACACACACACACACACCAGACAGCTCTGGGGACCATGAACCAGACACCCAACCTGCTGTCCAGCTGAACAGAGACTGCTTATCCATCTGTCTGCATAGCTAGGAAAGCCCCACCTCCAGACAGAAGCCCCAGCTAAGTCAGGCTAGGTCCCTTATCCCTGGTACTGCACCTTGTGAGGAAATGGGAGGTCCCTGACCAAGTTGGGCTTCACCTGAATCCTGGGCTCCTCAGCTGCCAAGAGTCCTACTCTGTTTATAATCCATTTATGAAGTACCTACTGTATGCTGGGTAATGGGGCACAGGAGGGCCTCAAATTGTCCCCTCCCTGAAGACAGACGTGCTAATAGGCAGAGTAAGCGGGAATGGGTGGCATCTCAGACCTCACGGACACAGAAGGCTCAAGGCCATTAACAAGGTAGCCAGAAAGCCAGGCGTTGGTGGCGCACGCCTTTAATCCCAGCACCCGGGAGGCAGAGGCAAGCGGATCTCTGTGAGTTTGAGGCCAGCCTGGTCTACAGAGCTAGTTCCAGGACAGCCTCCAAAACAATACAGAGAAACCCTGTCTCAAAAAAAAAAAAAAACAAAAAAAAAAAAAACCAAGGTAGCCCGAGGCTGCTCAAAGTCCCTGCCCACAGAGGATCTATCTCCCACTGTGGGAAGGGAAATGCTGGGATTGAAGGTGAGCACCACCACACCAGACTCTGGGAAAAAGAACCCCCCTGAGCCTCTGCCAGGTCACGCTTGATACCGTGGGGGTATCCACGGGGCCAGGGAATTCCCCCTGGCAAGTGACTTCCTGTCTTGAGTCTGCACTCACCCCAGTCATCTTTCCCGGAACCTGGGAAAGAACCATTCGGGTCTCTTCCCTTTGTCAGCCTAGTGCTGAAGTGCGACCTCTGGTGGCAGCTGGGAGCTCCAGGATATTCACTTTGGGAATCCTCTAGTGTGGGGAAACCCTGCCCACTTCCCTGGGCGGTAAATGGGCGCGGGCAGGAGCCACTAGAGGGCAGCAAAACCCAGGCCTGGTTGCTCCCCATGCCACTTAGCCTCACCACCAGGCATCCCTTGGCAGAAGGAGGTTTGGGGACTGTAGTGGCTGTGTTTACTTAAGAATGCCACATCCCCACCACCACCACCACCACCACCACCACCACCACCACCACCACCACCACGGCGGGAGGGGGGCGGGGGGCATAAGGACTCCCTGCTCAGGTATTGTTTGGGGGTTGGTTTTTTGTTTGTTTGTTTGTTTTGTTTTGTTTTTTCGAGACAGGGTTTCTCTGTATTGTTTTGGAGCCTGTCCTGGAACTCCTGCAGACCAGGCTGGCCTCGAACTCACAGAGATCCACCCACCTCTGCCTCCCGAGTGCTGGGATTAAAGGCGTGCGCCACCAACGCCCGGCTTCAGATAATGGTTTTTATGAATCATGAATGCCGGCTAGGGTCAGGGACTTGAGAGAAATTTAGCGCTTATCAAGGTATAAAAAGAGGAGACAGAGAGTCAAAGCACAGCTCTGGCAGAGACAGAAAGTCCTATCACCACCTCCACTTGACTCCCTAACACCCCTCTCATGGTCCCACGGATGGATGGAAGGATGGATGGACAGACAGACAGACGGACGGACAGATGGACAGACGGATGCTCCTTTCTGAAATGAGGGTGATATGCTCTGCCCCTGGGGCTATGAAGAGGGTGACAGCATGAGCGGTTAATACCCACCATTGCTCCTGGGGTGCTGGGTGAATCCGATTCCTCAGCTCACACTGGGGAGAGGAGCTAGCCTGGACAAAAGCTAGCTCCAGTCATTCGGGACCCAAGTACGTGGACCGTTGTTAACCACAGAACCAGGAACGAAGCCAGCAGGACAAGGAAGGGTCCAGTCCGGGGAGCCTTAAACACAGGGCCAGCCTGGACAATACCAAAGTCTCCATCCCAAGTGGGTACGCAGAACCTCAGAGTTACAGCCAGCCTCAGGATGGATGATGACAGACTCGGCCCCTGAAGGCTGTTGACCCACGCCTTTGTTCGTGGTCTGCGCTGTTCCCACTCTGAATATGCACCGTGTGCACCCATACACACACCTGTCATCAGGATGCGCAGCTGCAGTCCCCTCCCCTCGGTGGAGGTCCAGCGTTTGCCCACCCAGCCTTGTTCCTGTATGAAAACATGGAGCCCATCACAGCCTGGAAGGAACAGGATCCATCTCTGGTCTGGCTAGGAAGGTCATGAAGATGGTAACCATTCATCTCTCCCCCGTGGGGTGCTGGCCCAGAGACACCCCTTGTCCTGGACAAGCCAGACAGTGTACAGCCCTTGCAACCCATAAATCCTGTGCCCCGGCACTGTTTCCCCGATATGAAGTCGGGTGGGTGGCTCATGGCCACTGTAAGGGCAGCTAACCAACCCCTCACCCGTCCACTGTTCAGTCCCTGCTCTGGACCCAGCCAGAAAAGTAGGACGGACAGAGTCCCAACTGCAGAAAGGGCCATGACAGCAACTGTTGGTCTTCACGTCTATTCCAAGGGACCTGCGTCATGGCCACCGGGTCTCTTCCATCCAATCCCCTACGGGCAGGGGCTGCTCCAGCATGCTGCACTTGGGTGACAGCGGGAGGCGGGGAGGGAATCTCTCTTCACCTAGGTTAGCACTTGGGGCAGAAAGAAGGCTGGAGGGGCGCTGACTTTGCCTTTCCTGATTCCCTCTGCCATGTCCCTTTGCTGCAAAGCAAAGGGAAGAGGCCAGAGGTACATGAGCCAAGGCAGGGCGACAAGTCAGCCACAACCCCCCCCCCCCCCCCCCCCCCGGCCAAGGCATCACCAAGGATGCTCCCAGCTCTAGCAGGGCGACCTGTCCCACCTCACCCCCACAAACCTCCAACAGGAAGACTCCAGGCTGCCTCCAGGTCCCTGCTGGACCCACACTGCTAGCTAGCACTGGACTCACTCCTCGCTCCTAGAGCTGGGGACTCGGTAAAACAGCAGCCAGACCAGGGGTCATCGTGCCTTTATGCCACTGGGGGTGGAGGTGTTGGCGGAGTCTCTAGTACTTTCTCACGCCCAGCGGCCGGTGGAGAGCCGGGATTGGTCAGACCCTGAACCCTCCTACAGAGGGGCTGGACCATTATCCCTCGGGTGAGGGGTGGGGATCGCCTGCAGCAAAATTCTGGGACCCTTGCAGGTGGGCTCCTGGCCCTTGGATCTTACCTTCCAACCCCCTGAAGGCTGCTAGTACTGCCTTGCACACTGCAGCCGGGATCTCAGAGATCAGTGTCACCAGTGGCTTTCTGCCCTGGCCCCAGTTTCCTACAGGAAAAGCACAGGACAGGTGTCCCCTATCCCTCCATCTAGCCATCTGACTTGTCTGAGGGGACGGACACACACACACACACAATTGATTTTTTTAATGACTTCAGAAGTATCCCTAGAAACGTCAAAGCCATCATTCCCAGAGAGCCCCAGCCTCCTTCAATCCAATACTCCACACTCCAGTAGTCACCCTCTCCAGGAAGTTCCACTCACCTTCTTCCAGGCTAGTCCTGATATTAAAAAGCCATCACAGTGCTGGTCCAGGTAGCTAATTCCTAGGGGAAAGTAACCCCCGGGCCCCATCCTTCCCCTCGACATCTCCATCACTTGGTGGATTTCTAACCCCCTTCCTTTTTATTTATTTATTTATTTATTTATTTGGCTTTGGATTCAGTTTATGGTCATGTCGACCAAGCTTGGGACTCACTGTCTTGCCAGTGAGGACGTAAAGACTCCGGATGTTCCCGCCTCTGCCTGCTGCTTCCCAACTGCTGGGGTTTACAGGGTGGTACCACTATACCCAGCCTGGCGTTTCTAAGCAGCTAAACTCGAGGGTCCCTCCACTTGCCCAGAGATGGAGCGCCGCCGCTGCTGCTCCTCACGAGACGGTGACCGGGGTGTCCGCAGAAGGCCTCATCCTTCTTATGCGCCCACCAAACCCCACTCTGTCCCTCACGTGGAGCGGCAAGCAGGGATGCTGGGGGCGTAGGGGGACAGGGGGAGTGAATGCTGGGGGTGAGAACAGTGTGGGCACGCCAGGGAGTAAGGAAGTGTGCCAGCCAGAGCGACTCTAGGCAGGACGTGTGTGTGGCAGGAGGAGAGGAGACGGGAGGGGGGAAGAAGCAGCCCAATGAAGGCAGAGGCAATAGCAGAGGTGCCGTGCCAGGCGTAATGGCAAGAACGTGTGCAGGGTCTTCCTGGGAGTCCTTCCCCCACAGGGGGGGCATTGAGGATAAGTGATGGAGCCAGGAATGGTGCCAGCCTTGGGCAAAAAGGGAGGGGGTAGTAGCTGCCCTGCGTGGCTTTATTTAAAAAAAAACTGCACCTAGGTAGATTCCCCGGCTCTGGGGACATCTTGGCCTCTCTCACTGGTCCACGGGGAGGAACCTCCTTGCGCACTCATCCTGACTTGAGGGTGGCCAGGTAGGCTGCGGTGGCTGCTCCGCCGCCCCCCCCTGCCTGCCTGGAGGCCCTGAATGGCCGGGGCCCAGTCTTTTGTGGGAGAGCAGCTGGCGCCCGGCCCTTTATGTGGGGCTGTGGGAAAGTCCCCGGGCCAGCCTCTCACAGCCTCTCAAAAAAGCCGGGATTATCTCTGAGCCTGAAGGACACCCTCTCAAGGAGCTCCCCCCCACCTCCCCAGTACGGTTGGGGGCAGGGACACCCCCACAGAGGGTCTGTCCACCACCAGACCCTGGCCCCAGAAGCCCTTTGGCCAGGGAGTGTCCTGGAGTGGAAAGACCCTTGAGCATTCTGCTCCCGCCCTACCAGCCCAGCTGACCGGACTTAGAAATGCCCACTAACACAGGCAGGGCAGCCAGGGGCAGTGGAAGGGCTGGCACCCATCTCAGACCTCTCTCTCTTTCCTCTCTACCCTGTGTGCCCGAGGCAGGCCCAGAGCCGGAGGCTTGCCAGAGAGATGTACACTTATTTAACACCTATGGCATACAAAACTGAGCAGAATGAGAGTTTGGGGGGGGGCGTGGGAAGACCACACCTAGCTATGTGCCTGTCCCTCTGGCTTTTCCCTGGTCGGCCAGGCCTATCCCATGCAGCCCAGAGCACAAGTCATCCACAGGGAAACCAAATGAAGAGGCTGACAGTGCCTGGGGCTCAGGAATTTAGACACCCCCCCCCCCAAGCAGCAGCTCTGATTCCAAGGCCACCCTGAACGCTCTCCAAGGCACACCTGGGCTGGGACCACCATCAGCCCATTCCACAGATAAGGAAACCCGAGGCCCAGACAGCTCAGCTTTCTGCGTAGTAGCGGCTCATGGCTTTGAACCCCTGTGGTCACAGTCCCGTTACGTCCCTGGGCAGGACAAGAGGCAAGCATCCACTAGAGCGTCCTCCTCACACATAAAACGTGACCCAAGAGGCTGTGAGAACTCCAGGGCACTCAAGGCCAGATGTGCTGACATCCAGCGAGGTTGCCAGGGAGCTGCTGCCGCTGCCCAGGGTCTCAAAGGCAGCCTGGAGGGGGGGGAGGCCCACCCTGCCCGCCCTGAGGACTGCTCCCCAGATGGCCTCTGGAGCTGGGAGCTTGGCTCACAAAGCACAGGGCCGGGCCCCGTGGCGAATGAGTTTGTTGCCGCGCACGCGCCTTTTGTGGAGGATGAATGTCGGAGGCAGGGGGTGGGGTGTGGGAACCCACCCGGAGCAGGCCTCCCGCCCAAATTATTCCCCTCCTATCTCTGTGGGGGGGGCGCTGCCTGGAAAAGAAGGCAGAACCAGCCCCTAGGCACTGCCTTGGCACCCTTAGGCCCCAGCACGCGGCCTCAAGCAGACATACGGGTACTCCACGGGATACACAAATGTGTGGGTCCCTTGTCTCCGTGTCATGCGGAAAAGCAGCCAGTGGGGCTGGCAGGGGCGGCTTGAGCTCCTGGGGAGGGGGGGAGGGCGGGACGGCGGGCGGAAGGGCGCGATGGGTTTAGGGTGGACCCGCTATAATGACTGTCCGGGGCGGTTATGAAGAGAGCAGGAAATTCCGGGACCCCTGCTAGGGCACTTCCAAGTCCGGGAGACCCAAGTCCTGCCTGGGTATGGGTTAGGAGGCTGGAAGTAGGAGGGGCAACCAGAGGCTGCTCCTTTTCCCCCCAGGCCACACACTGAGGTCAGGCTCCAGAACACAAACCGCTGGACCTGGCACACACGGCAGTTTAACCCATCTCCTCCTGAACTGGGGGCCGTAGGAGCTGGCTAACGCTCCCTGCAGTCTCTCCATCTGTGATCCAGGTCCCAGGAGACACCCAGTCACCCACTGATGTAGGGAGTGGCGGGTGTACCTGGAGCCGTGGGTGTCTGTCCTCCCTGTTGATTTTTTTCGAGGCCTCTAGCAAGAAGCCTCCCCCCCATCTCTGACCGCCGGTCCTGGCTGGTCAATCCTAATGGGACGGTAACATGAGGTGGAAACCCCAGTGCATGCCAGGCTCCAAAAAGAGAGTTGATGAGGTAGACATCGTATGTTGGAGTTGGAGCTGGGCATCAAGAGAGGGACTAGGAACCAGGCAGTGGTGGCGCAGGCCTTTAATCCCAGCACTCGGGAGGCAGAGGCAGGCGGATCTCTGTCAGTTTGAGGCCAGCCTGGTCTACAGAGTGGGTTCCAGGACACCCAGGGCTACACAGAGAAACCCTGTCTCAAAAAAACAAAAACAAAAAAAAACAAAAAAGAGAAGAAGAAAGAGAGAGAGAGAGAGAGAGAGAGAGAGAGAGAGAGAGAGAGAGAGAGAGAGAGAGAGAGAGAGAGAAGTAGGCTAGGGGGTCATGGGCCCAAGCCCCTGTCTGTAATCTCCCTGAATGGCAGAGTCTCCTAGAGACATGGTCTCACCATCTCGAAGAGTTAGGATCCTGACTCTTAAACATTACCAGCGGGGGCGGGGGGTCAGTATTCCGCTAGCCAATGTGGGGAGAGAAGGGGCCTCCAGTCACAGAGTCCCCACTCTAGGACTTCCTGGGAGAATTGATCTACTACAGCCACCATCTCAGGCCTTGCCCGGGACCCCCAGGCCCTAACAGGACCCTTGGGCTTCTGCACCATGTTGAGGTGCAGTCAGCCTCTCCCAGAGGCTTCTTTAAAGCTGCTGCTCACCCCTGGGTTCTGTTTCCCACTGGAAGCATGGTGTCTCCATGTTTGTTTAGCGGGTCCCTGTGACCTTGAAAGTCTGGGGGAGCGCCTTAAACAATAAGCCAAGGCAACCAGTGCTCAGGCTGGAGAGGAGCAACAGGGCACTTCTAACTCAGGAGACATGGACGATCAGCAACCCCAGACCCTGGGAGAAGTGTCTGCGGCTGACTCGGGGACTAAGTAAGCACCACACCACAGGCTCAGGAACCCACCTCTGTCCTTTCTGCCAGGGCCCAAGGCTTCCCCTCCTTGCCGCAACCCTTGCCCAGGGCAATCCAGGGCCCTTCCATTCTAAGCTGAGCAGCTTGGCCTTGAATTTCTCTGGACCTTAGTTTGTCTACCTGTCTAATGGGTATGATGATGCTAGGCATCTGGAGGCAATCCCACTTCTTGTAAGCCAGTCAGTCCTCCAACAGAAGCTTCCATGCCAGCCTCAGACTGTGTGGTAATTATTCTAGGCTGGGTGGGTGACATTTCCCTGAATATCCTCTGGTACTACATCAAGGTAGGCACAGGTAAGGGATGAGCCAGCGGCACACCAGCAGGATTTCATTAGCACCTGGCGGCGGTGGCGCTCAACTTTAATCCCAGCACTCGGGAGGCAGAGGCAGGTGGATCTCAGTGAGTTCAAGGCCAGCCCGGGCTACAGAGCCAGTTCCAGGACAGCCAGGGCTGTTTCACAGAGAACCCCAGTCTTGAAAAACAAAAGCAAACCAAAACAAACCAAAAAAAAAAAAAAAAAAAAAAAGGACTTCCTTAGCTACCCTGACATTTCAATCTTATCTAAGGTCTCACATCACGGAATAGTCTTATTTGGCGCAGTGCGTCCCTAAGCCAATTGACGGACCCTACCATTGCTCCCGCTTTGCAGAAAAGAAAACCGAGGCAGGCCAGGCGTTGGTGGCGCACGCCTTTAGTCCCAGCACTCGGGAGGCAGAGGCAGGAGGATCTCTGTGAATTAGAGGCCAGCCTGGTCTACAGAGTGAGTTCCAGGACAGCCTCCAAAACAATACAGAAAAACCCTGTCTCGAAAAAACAAAAAAAAACAAAAAAAAAGACAGACAGACAGACAGGAAGGAAGGAAGGAAGGAAGGAAGAAAGAAAGAAAGAAAGAAAGAAAGAAAGAAAGAAAGAAAGAAAGAAAGAAAGAAAGAAAGAAAACCGAGGCAGAGGTAGGTTTAAATGTGGTGCGGTGGGCTAGCTCTAGGCTGGGGAGTTGGGAGATGTGAGGATGGTGCCTGGGGAGGGTTCTGTGTCCCCTCTGAGACTGAGAGCCATGGGTGGGGACACCCAGCCTCTGGCTCAGTCCGGGACAGCCTCCCTCCTTGTCCCTGTCCCTGTGCTCCTCACCCTAGGCTATGGTTCCCACACGCCGCGACGGCGGCGGCGGAGGGCAGCGGCGGTAGCGCGGGAAGCGTGCCCAGCCCTGAGGCATTAGTGCCGGGGCCTGCCTCTGAATGAATGAGGGCGGCAGTGGGGGGCATGAGGAGGGTAGCTCCCAAAAGACCATCTGGCTCGATGCTATAATAGGGCAATAAAGGACTCGTCTGCTTTTCAGGGGTTGGGAAGGAGCTGCTCTCTGACACCACAGCGTTTTTTTTTTTTTTCTAACCAGCTTGGGACTGCGACCCTAGCGCTACCCTGGCCTACTGGGGGCTGGTGGGCAGAGCGTGGCCACGTGGGCTGGGTAGACCTAATTCCTTGGCTGCCTTGAGAGCATCCCCCACCCCCAGTTTTCCCACTTCCGTTGTCCAGAGTCCTTCACACCCCATTTCAGCCAACTAAGGTTGGTGATGGCTCTGGGGTGTGGACCCCCTGCGTAGGACTGCGCGGCACGGAGTTCCAGCAGCCATCCAGGCGCCTCTCAGGCAGCTGGGGCGCTCAACCCGCAGGGCTGTGGGGATGTGGGACACATCTCAGCAGATCTGTCATCTCCAGGCCCGGAGGGAACAGAAGGCTAGGGGGGGCTTGGATTTGTGTCCTCACTGTGTTGTCGCCACAAAGTGCTTTTTCCACGGGGCTGCTGGGGTACATTTCCCGGTCCCACCTTAGCCAGATGAGAGGAGAGGTTTTGGAGATGGAATGTCTCCAGGTGGCCACTATCACTAGAGCCCTCGGGGGCCGATGGGTAAGCAGAAGAAGAGGCTGTCCTGGGAGTGAGGTATGGAGTTGAGAAGCTGTGTGTGAGCAGCCTGAGAACAGCCTGAGGCTGCCTGAGCCCCACAGCGGAGTACCAGGTTTGGGACCTACGGAGTTACACCCAGCACCAGACCTTCTGTGCAGAGGGGTGACCTAGGGTC